TATACATATACATATACATATACATATACATATACATATACATATATATATATATATATATATTCCCAACAACCCCAAGCAGAAAAGAGGAGCCACAACCTCAAGAGAAGCTTGCAAGATGCCAGGTGCCACAGCTCAGCTCTGATGCTATTTTGAATCAGGCAGTTCAGTCCTGACCAAATATGCCAATCATGTATTTGGAGAAGGGGGTGTCTTGGCATCTAATCACCATTACATAAACCTCCAACCTTGCTTACTAAGAGGCAGAGAACTGTATGTATCACCAACCTCCTGTCATCCCAGGTCTCCATCAGAATGACAGGTTGGAGTTCCGGAGGGGAAACTCGCTCTCTTTCTAGAAAGGGAATCTCTTTATCTGCTGGTTATATAAGTCCCCGGTCTCCTTTTATGGCCTGCTTCCTGCTTCCACAACAAGCACCAGGAACAAGTGTAAGCTTCATCTGCGTCTGTGGGCGGAACGTGTAATGAAGCAGCCCATTCAAGCTTCATTGCTGTGAGACTTTGTGATGGGCGGGGCTAATGAGTTGGCCACCCCAGGTGGGAGGGGTGGGACCCCTTCTGACCCCATGACCCAGGAAATCCCCCTCTCGCTCATCTTTGGACACCTGTTGCTATCATGTAGAGAAGGTGGTTGGACTCAAATGCCCATCTCTGATTTGGAGAAGCCAGATCCTGGCACATCTTCTCTCCTCATTCTGATCTCTTTCCCTTTCGCTCAGTCCTGAAGTATTGTGCAAGTGGAGGCATTGGTAAATGTGCAGAGGAATGTATCAGATCTGGAGGTGGAGGGGGCATGGGTGTTCAACCTATGCTGGCCGGTGGTGTGTGACAATCACCAGCTTAATCTCCCTCTTTTGTCAGGAGCCTTTTGCAGAGAGCAATTTAATAGGGACCTTGCTGACTGAGAGATGAATAAGCCTTTCTCTGCTCTTGAGCTGGGGGGAGAGAAGGAGGATGCCATGGAGAGGGGGGAAGAAAAGGTAAAGGAATTACTCATCCAACCATCCAACTGTCTCCAAAACCTTTAAAGTGCTTCTCGCCTCAAGTCTGGGGGTGTGTGCGAGGGGGTGGAAAAAGCGAAAGGGAGGGGGAAGCAGACAGATTTGCCAGAAGCTGTGTTTTCCCCTGAATCTTTCTCGCCCAATCACAGCCACGTAGCTGATGAGCAAAGAGGTCTGGCTACGCCCACGTACGGAGCTGTGTGCAGTATAAGTATGGGTCTCCATCTGAGCTAGTGGCAGAGCACGGAGAGGGACCGAAGAGCTCTCTGTTTTACAACTCCCGGAGAACCAGACACCTGTTAGCTCAAAGTTCTCAAGAGGTCTGGAAGCAAGGGAGAAGCGGTGGCAGCAGCAAGACAGGCTACCGTGGAAGCCTTCCGACTCATCAAGGGGAACGTGTCGGATCTGCTTGGGAATTAAAGCCTTCTAGCCGAGGAAGAAGAATTCAAGACTGAAAAGAACTTTCCTTGTTTTCTTCCTGGACTTTTGCTGCAACGCAAGTGGAGTTAGACGGCAACGTTTCCTGGGGTGATATCTGATTCAGTTGTGTTTCGTGCTTTTGGGGAGAAACAGGCAAGTCCGTTTCTTGGGCAGAGTGGTTTGAGAAGGAGTCACTTGTTGAGGTGAAAGTGTATTGAGGCTATAGCAGCAAAGGTAGGAATGATGCAGTTGGACAACTTCAACCACGGGAACATCCACTCTTCTCAGGGTCATCGTGGGATGGCCAACAACAAGCCCAATGTCATCCTTCAGATAGGGAAGTGCAGGGCTGAGATGTTAGACCATGTTAGGAGAACCCATCGACACCTCCTAACTGAGGTGTCCAAACAGGTGGAGCGGGAGCTGAAAGGCCTGCAGAAATCGGTGGGGAAACTTGAGAACAATCTTGAGGACCATGTCCCCTCAGCTGCTGAGAACCAGAGATGGAAGAAATCCATTAAGGCCTGTCTGGCTAGATGTCAGGAGACCATTGCCCATCTGGAGAGGTGGGTCAAGAGGGAGATCAATGTCTGGAAGGAAGTCTTTTTCCGCTTGGAGAAATGGGCTGATCGGCTGGAATCTGGTGGGGGGAAGTACTGCCATGCCGATAGCCCTAGACAAACTGTCTCTGTAGGAGTAGGAGGCCCAGAAATCCGACCTGGCAAAGAGGAAATTTATGATTATGCATTAGACATGAGTCAGATGTATGCCCTGACTCCTCCTCCTTTAGGGGAAGTCCCTAGTGTGCCTCAGCCCCATGACTCCTATCAGTGGGTCACTGTGCCAGAAGATACCCCACCCTCCCCCGTAGAGACCCAGATTTTTGAGGATCCCAGGGAATTCCTGACACATCTGGAGGATTATCTGAAGCAGGTGGGTGGGACTGAGGAGTATTGGCTCTCTCAGATCCAGAACCACATGAACGGTCCTGCCAAAAAGTGGTGGGAATACAAGCAGGATTCTGTCAAGAACTGGCTGGAGTTTAAGAAAGAGTTCCTTCAATACAGCGAGGGTACTCTGACAAGGGACGCCATCAAACAGGAGCTGGACCTCCCCCAGAAGAATGGGGAGCCACTTGACCAGTTCCTCTGGCGCAAAAGGGACTTATACCAGACTCTCTATGTAGATGCTGATGAAGAGGAGGTCATCCAGTATGTCGTAGGGACCCTCCAGCCCAAACTCAAGCGTTTTCTTAGCCACCCCTACCCCAAAACCTTAGAGCAACTGATCCAAAGGGGCAAGGAAGTTGAGGGCAACTTAGACCATTCTGAGGAGCCCAGTCCCCAGAGATCCCCCAAACACCAGCTAGGAGGATCAGTGGAAAGTTTGCCTCCTTCCTCCACTGCTAGCCCAGCTGCTAGTGATGAAACTCATCCAGAAGTTTCTGCCCCACCAGCCACAGTGATCTGAGCCATGAAATGAGGCAGTGGAAACACAGATGGGAGCCATCAGCTTATTTAGTGCATTTGTTTCCTTTCAGTGGGTGCCTTTGGCTACACTGATGATTCTGGGAGGATGTTCTCAGCCCAACGGCTGGTTGGAGATGATTGGCTTTTTCTTTGGGGTAACCCACGTGGTGAGCATAGCTAGCTTGAATCATCTGATGTGCTTCAAGATGGAATGTTGGTAGCTGAGTTTGAGAATTGCTTTCTAAAAGCAAGGATTGGACTATGTTACCAAGGTAGGTCTCCTCCTTTTGGGGTAGAGACAGCTATATCTCCTTGGGCAATCATTTCCTAGGGATTTAAATAGACACAACAATAGAAGCTCCTTCCTTCTTACATTAGTCTTGTCCTTCAACATGCTTTTCCTTCCAGGCATTCTCTCATCCTTCCAGGTAGCTGTTGAGAGATTACCTTTGTTTATCTTTGCATTAGCCAATGGATTTACTTATTTTCTAGAAAGCTGTGGGTTTCTATTTTTATACTTCTTCAGCGTCTTTTAGACTGAGCTCCAAAACATGTTGGAAAGCAAGTTTCAGGTGGCCTGGCAGAGCTTCAGTGGAAGTTCCAGCCATCACCTGAAGCTCTGTTGTTTTGGCCTCAATTTTTCTTCTCAGATGGGTCTCTGGATTCTTTCTGACCTGATTTTTAAGGTCCTTCAGCTCCAGAAAAGCCATTAGTAGACATGCATTCCATCTTTCCTTATCTAAATCCAAGCCGTTGAGGTGAGAGGGGTTCATACAATTGAATTTCTTGCTTCATTCGTGAGGGTGATAAGTAGAGTTCTGGTAAAGACAGAGACTTTTATCAAACATCAAAGGGGGTTCAGAAAGAAAGAATACTCCAAGGGACGAGAGATGCATATACTATAAGAAGAAAAAATGTTGCACGAACACAGCTAGAATTTAGAGCTTAACCCATCTAGAAGAACGTCTTCTAAAGTTGTACTAGCTTTTGCTAGTTGAAAAATGGACTGAGTATTTCAGCGGTGGGTTAACTTTACCAAAGGTGTAAAGATCCTTGAACTGAAGCTTTTTAGCTGAGCCTCATTTGATGATATAAATAAGTACCAGACTAGGAGGAAGATCGGCAACTTTGAGAAACTTGTGCAGTTGAAAAGAGAAAAGAAGAGAGAGAAATGAAGCCAAAGTTCATACTACAGGAAGTCAGCACTTTCCGTCAGAAAGAGACATCTCGCCATGCAATATATGATGGAATCAATAGCAGCAAAGGAAAAGGTGAAGAGCAGCTGTGAAAATCTTTCTGAGAACCTTGGGGAGGTGTGAGTCCTTCCCATAGGCTAGAGGTAAGTAACAACATCTTGACTTTTTATCTTTACCAAGTTTAATGATGTTGTTGATGATGATGTCAGCTTGGGCTAGTTTAAGCTGGGTTCAGACAATACATGAAGTGAACATGGGTTTGAGGACTTACAGTATGGTTGGGACATAGCACAACACCAGAACAACTGGCAGAATATGCTTTTCTGGTATCACAAGAATTTGAGGAACTCTGCTTTCTGGTTTGGATCTGCTCCTCATTTTGCCCCTGCTAGCAGTCCAAAGTCTTTGCAGAACTGAAGGAAAAGTCAACCTGCTATTGCTTCTCTGAAAGCAAGAGAAATGGCAGTTGGGTTGTGGGAAAGAAGCTGTTCTCCCAACTGCTGTGCATAAGCATTTCCTTATCTGTGAGAGCAAACTGGTTGAGGGACATTTGTGCAGACCAAAGAATTCAATCAGAGCTCTCTGGGGAAGAAAGCAAGCAATATCTAATGTAACGAATTGTGTGTTACTGAAGCAGGCTTGGCTCACATCTCATGCCATGCTTTTATTACAGTGACTCATTGAAAACGGGCTGTGAGTTCAGCACTTCCTGAATCGCATGTGGAGCAGAGATGGAGATGGAGAGGCTGCTCTGAAAAATCCCAGCATGCAACAGAGCTGGATGGACGTCATCCTCCAAAGGCTCCTGCTGCTCCTGCAGGGCGATCACCTGAAAAAGAAGGTAATGTGAGCTCTCTACCAAAGGGTTAAATTCCTTTGCCTGCTCTTAACACTCCAGACAGCAGTTCTGAATTCTCCTGACATTTACACATAATATTCCTTCTGCATTGGGATGGAGAATTTTAGATTCCCAGTTTCAGAGCACACTTTTTGGAAAGAGGTGCTGGAAATACCTCTTTGGAAATTCCCTAAAGAGGCAAGAATCAAGAATAGGTCCTACCTGAGATGGGTCCTACCTCCTTCCCTTCTCCAGATCTTTTCCTGCCTCATTATGCTTGGTTTATTATAAGGAAATGATAGGAAACATTGTACACCCCCCTCTCCCCTCCAGGATTTAAACTGTAGCTTCCCCAACTTCTTCCCATTGGCCATGCTGGCTGGGATATACCCCAAAACCATGGGGAAACCCACCCACCATAATTCTCCAAAGCCTTAGCATTGCTCCTTTCCTTCCCATTTTCTTACCCTGTCATCTAATCTTCACATTTTTTTTATTACAGGGAACTGTTTCCTAGTGTTGTTGGTGACACAGATCCTGAGTTCTTCAATGGCTGCTACTTTTGCATGGAGAAGAGGTGTTATCTGAGGAAGTGAAGAGCAGCGACAACATCTCACGATGGCTGCTACCACAGAAGGCAGAGAAGGTGCCAGGAAGAAGCTGTACAGGGTGCAAAGATCAGCAAAGGCTCATTCAAGGGATTTCAAAGGGACTTTCAAGGGACATTCATCCATTACTCAGATGGCAACATTCAAAGTTATGACTACAGCAATGTGAACGTTGTGAATGGGAGTTGGGGAGAAAGGAATTCTGCAGGATTTTGGTGGAGGACTTCAAAGGGGGCTAAAAAGTTCCTAGAACTGAGAGAACATCCTTTCTAAAGGGTCAGTCTTCAATGTCCTGTCACCTCTGTTGCCCATGAAGATGGTGTAAAAGAAACTAGAAAGGTAAAAGTAAAAAAACCCCCAAAACCTTGGAGTCAAATGTGTTTGGTTGAACAAAGTTAGGCCCTGTAATTATGGGCCTGATAACAATGGGTGCAGTTGAGGCATTCCAACTTCCCCCACTAGCCAGGAGTATAAGGAATGCATTCTTTTTCCTTATTTCATTTCTTGAGCCTACTAAGAAGTGTAAAATGTACACGCCATTGCATACAGTGGACATTTATCAGAACTTTTTTGATGTTCAAAGAAGTTTCACTTCACATTCCACCTGTCAAACAGGTTGGATTGGAGATAGTTATAGATTATTATTATTATTATTATCATTATCATCATCATCATCATCAATTTCCAAGACTATTTGGTCTCCTATTCTTGGGTAGGAGTGTCTTTACATGAATGTATACTAATCTGCCAAATCTGATCATATCATCAAATTTGGTACCAAGGTTACTTTATCAATTCAGAGTTGAGTGCAATGTTAGCCTTCAAATAATAATTATTGTTGTATTACAAATAACCTGTTCAAGTTAAACACCACAGAGGGCCAATGGTAGACTTTCAGAGAGTCTACCATGTCCTCATTGACCTTCACATCTCTTGCCATTGTTTCTCTAGCTTCACTCACAATTGTGTGACCATGCTTCTGGGGTTATTAGAGAAGCTGGCCAATGGGATCACTGGATTCTGATTATACTGATTGCTTCTAATGAATGGAAGCTTCACCTCTTCTTTATGTATCATTGTTTCTCATTGAGAGAGTTGATGCTCATATTCTCCCTATGGAGAACCTGGGAAAGATCTTTGAGACCAAGCAGACACCTTGCCTGTTGTGCAATATTACTGCATCGGATCTGCTTTCTATTTCTGATCTGTTTCTTTGTTTCTAACTACTGGAACTTATCTGTTCAAGACATGCCATGCGGAAGATGATTCCGCCATCGCATTACGAGCTGTGGTTTTGATACACGGGCTTGGGAACATGTGCTTTCTTGTGTACACAGATCACTTGACCTTGTTCCAGTTGTATGAAGCCACTTCTACATTATCACATTGGTGGTGAATCTTATGAGGCTGTGTCAGCCAATGCTCTTGTTAGAAAAAGAGAAAAAAGCATTCCCCACATGTAAAACAATTGTAGTAAAATCTGTTCATTGTGAGGAAGCATTTCTGTTTGTAGATTTCTACAATAAAACATTGTGTAATAATTGCTTAAAATAACACACACTTGGTTCTTATTCATTGTTTCCAGTCTCTCTTTCTTCTCCCCAATATGTTCAACGGATGTCTTGGGATATTACCAATTTTTGACTAGTTTGCTTTCACTGTACCCATGGATAGTTTTATTGGTTCATTCTCATGACAAAGGGCAAAGTTATTTATTTACTTATTTATTTTGGTAAAATGGGGTCCTGCTAGTGACTGCAGGCTGCCATTTTACTAAGGCTTTTGTTTTTAAGCAAAACAAACAAGCAAACGTATTTGGATATGGCTACATGCAGCAACACAATCCTAGAGGGGTCTAAGGAATGCAGAAAAAATCTTGGGGGCCAATTGTAAGAACCATAAGTCACAAATTGGCAGGAACTAGATTGGCAGGAAGATGAATGATAGTTACATGACATTCCACAAGATCTACCAGTCAGAACAGAGAATATATGGAGAGCAAACAAATCATTTTGGGTAAAACATCTTCCTTCACTTCTGTGCTGGAGATCCATGAGTCAAGTGGCTACAAACTCAACATTTTGGGTGATATGTTAGTTATCAGTTTGACCAGGACTGGCCAGGTTATTGGGCAGGATGAGAAGGAGAGAATGGCAGTGATTCATTGGAGGACAAAACCGAAGGTGCCATCTTATAATTTGCACTAAGCTACTTATGTCAACTAGTTGCCACCAAGTATGAGGGCATTGTCCCATTGAAAGCATCAATGCAATAATCAGTTTCTATAGGCAATTAAGTGTCTTAGGCTATCTAGATAGCATACCAAAGACAAGATACTTGTAGCTCTCCACCCTACCTC